ACATGCACTACCTGGGATGCATCGCTCAATCTTCATAGGCAAGAAGTCCAGGGCGATAGCGGGCAACTTCGCATACGGATGTATATAGACATATTTTAGAGTGTAGATTCATTCATTTTGCTTTGTATATAGTCGTTTGTTGAAATCTCTAAAAAGACAAATATTTAAGAATGGGGGACAAGAAGCATATTTTTCACATGCCCGTTTTTTCTCGGATAGCTGCCAAAAATCGATAATCGATTTTTATTTTCATATATTTTTCACTACTAGCCATGAATGAATGGCCTTTGGAGCGTGAGTGTGAGTTGGGTAGCATGACTGGTCCAACGCTAGCAGGAATTCCCAGGCGTGATGGGAGGGCTACGGCGTGAACCTTGGTGCAAGCTCACGCCATACCGTAGTCTTCTCCACTCAGGGAGTCTTGCATGCAGCGACCGCGACACCACGGAAAAGCCAATAACCGGGTCAAGCACCGGTGTGCTCGATCCGTTTCACAAGCGGTTACTTTTTCCTGTACCGTCGAAACATTTTTTTTAGGATGTCGTTGAATCATTCTACCGGTTGGAATACAGCAGCGACAGCGGCTCATGTTTAAATCCAAATGAAGAAGTTCATATTTTTGCCGTACCATATTTTATTTTTCGAGCTACGCATAGCATAGGAGTATGGCTTCAGAGCATCCACAGTGTGATGTTTTGCTGCCTCTAAGGCAGCCTCTAAGGCCATAGAGGCAGACGCTATACACTGTGAGAACAGCCTCTAAGCCAAATTTGCTTAGCATCGATGCTATGCTTGGAGGCAGCCTCCAACTCTGTCCATGCAATAAAATAATTCATTGGCCTTACATGTCATAGAAGAAGAGTATGCATGTGTCATGTCAAGAGGATGAAAGGAAGCCCTTTGGTAATCAATATATTATACATAGTGGGGACACCTTAGAGGCTGGTAACATTTGCTATACACTGCGGAATTTTGAGCTGACTCTAACAGCAGGACGTGGATCCTAGCTTGGAGGCAAGCCAGGCTCTAAACGCTGTGGATGCCCTCAGAAGCAGTTTTGAAGAGGAGGATCGATCATGAAAATCGCAGGCGTCCAACCATGATTCGATCCGCTGGGCCATGCCGTGTAGCCACGCACGTGAGACAGCCCCGCCTCGTCCGGCCGACCCCACGTCTCCCTCAATCTCTCCCCGACCCGCTACCGCCACACGGAGGAGCACACGCGTGCGGCTGGGGCAAGGGAGGACCCACGTGTCATCCCTTGTTCCCTCCAGGTTCCACCAGCTGCCAGGTGGACCAAGCAGTTCACCCGCGTGATCCGCCTCGGCCGGCGCGCCCCCGCAGCTTCTTTCTTTCCCCAGGCAAGCGAGGTCGGTACAGCGGCGATTAGCAATAGCTAGCCAATTAACTAAGAGTAAATCAAGATTAAGCGTGCGTTAACTATCGTGCTAATTCAAGCACAGGTTAGTCAATAGCGCCCACGCCACCCAAGTCAGTGGCCACTGGCCTGACCATGATGCGATGCGAATCCAAACATAGGACGGAGAGGGACGGGCGCCACGTGGGCGAGGGCGGCGGCCCATGCCGTAACCACCCACCGCCAAGCGTGGAGAGCAGCTCCTGCAGAATCGGCTGCAGTTGCAGAGGCCTCCCAACTGTTGAGAGAGATCCGAGCTCCAATGCAACAAATTCAGCTCCCAAAAAAATCTGACTTGAAAGTGAAAAGCTACACAGATCCTGTACAGTGTACAACAACAACGCAGTAGGTAATCTTCATGGCTAGCTCTGTATCGCGATTGAAAGCAAACATTCGGAGACACTTTATTTGTTGCCGAGACGGTCATTTGGTGAGCAGGATTCAATGCAATGCAATTTGTTTTGTGCCGGACGGCGGTGGGGGGGCGACCGCACGGCACAGTAGGGGGGATGGGAATGTGGTGGGAAGCGAGCAAGACGTGGGCTGGGCTACAGGGGGAGGAAAGTACAGCGGACCTTTTTGCTGCTCCAGGCAGCAGGAGAAATGCAGGCAGGTGGTGGTGTTGGTGGTGGGCAGGAGCACAAGAGCAGAGCAGAGAAAGGAGGCGATCACCGATCGACCCAACAACGCTCTGGCCGATCCTGCATTGTTGTTGCTATTTTGTTGCTTATGGCTTTTACTACTGCCTGCCTGCTAGCGAGTAATGAGTGCGACGATGCATCATCGGTTGCTTGGCGAAGCCAAGTCCCATGCCATGCTATGCGATGGACAGTTGGAACAAGAACAGCTGGAGACTGCAACAGACAGCAACAGTTTAGCTAAATTTTGCCCTATTTTCTTGCTAGGCTACCAAGATCAAGCAAGCCAAAGAAAACAATAACTAGTAGTAGCTGGCTCAGTTTGTTGGCCCGATCTACTCTGTTCCATAGCTTGAAACAAACAAAAAGACACACCGGAGCTGAGGGAGAAGAGAACTACAGCAGGAAAAATAACTACCCACCCGAGCAAGAGCATAGACAGACAGATGTCTCTCTTTTTCTTAACCCTTTTCTTTACCTTTTTGGCTTACTGCCTAAGCACCATCTTTCTTGCCAGCAATCACAAGCCCGAATCATCTATCTCCACTGGAACCAACCAACCAACCGACCGAAAGGAAAAGCACGCCGGATTGCTTGCTTGCTTCGTCGCTCTGCTCTGCTTGCTTTCAGTGGCCTGGCCTTGCGGAGAGGAAGGGATCTGACACGGCGGAGACCTCCAGGTCCTCGAAGGGCGCCGGGAGGTTGAGATCAATGAGGCCCAGGCTTTTCATCGCGGCGGCGGGATGATCGGCGCCAGGCGCGGCCACGGCGGCGGCGCCTGGGCAGAGCTGGGACCGCTTGTGGCCCCCGAGGGCCTGGCCTGACGCGAACACGCGGAAGCAACAGGGGCACTCGTGCGGATGCGGCTTCGTGCCCTCCTCGCATTCCAGCAATGGCTGCAGGTGGGTGGAAGCAGGAGGAGGCGGCGGCGGGTTGAGCGGGGGCGCGCAGCAGCCGCCCCTGCCGCCGCGGACGTGGCTGGCGCGGTGCCCGCCCAGCGCCTGGTACGATCGGAACACCTTCTTGCACGCGGGGCACTGGAACCGCGTCCGCTTCTGCTCGGCCGCCCGGGGCTCGACCTCTCCGCCGCCGTCGCTTCCGTCGTCGGAGTCGGCGGCGCGGTAGGAGGACGGCTGCCACGCCGCCGCGGGCCAGGAGTCGCGGGAGAGCATCATGAGGGACAGCGCGACGTCCTCCTCCGGCGTGGCGGCGTCGGACACGGAGCTCACCGGCTCCGCGTCGCGCGATCCGCCATGCACGCGCTTGGCGTCCGGCGACTGCGAGGGGTAGTCCGCCTCGCTCTCGCGATCTGAGAAGTCGGACTCGGCGAGGCGCACCCTCCGCTTGGGCTTGCCGCGGAGCACGTAGGCCTGGATGGGCATCATCCTGGCGTCGGCGGCGGCGTCGTCGTCCCCGGCCGCGACGGAGGTGGAGGCGGAGGAGGCCGATGAGATCTGCGACCTGGCGACCTTGATGGAGTGGGAGCGCATGTGGCCGGCGAGGGCGCGGGGGCTGGCGAAGCGGCGGCAGCAGAGCTTGCATGTGTTCTTGGCCATGGCGAGAGAGGGAGAGAGAGACCGAGAGAGCTCCGCTGGGTGGAGAGATAGCTAAAAATACAAGCTTTTGGAGGAAGGAAACGGAGTGTGCGAGAGAGTAGGAGGGCCAGGAGGAGCCGCCTCCGTGGGGGTCGTCTGGGGAAGTTGGAAAATGGCGGAACTGCCAAGCTTCCGCCTTTTATTCCATTCTTTTCCTTTTGCCCCCTCTCTTTTCTGGACGGCTCCCCGCATTCTCGACTTATTATGCCATCGGTATCTGCTCTGTAGTAGAAATCATTTTTTTTTGCCGAGTTATTGTTCTAAATTAATGGTAGATTGTACTACCTCCGTCCCGGTGTATAAGTCATTCGCGTAGTTCTAGGTCGATAATTTAACTATCTAAATATGTATTATATGTGACAAAAAATATATATTTACAAACTACATCCGTGTGGAAATCTAGTGGTATACTTTTCATGACATATAACACATATTTAATTCCTCAAATCGATGACCTAGAACTACGCGAATGACTTATACACCCGGACGGAGGGAGTACTGTATATTAGCAGTACGAAAGAAATGTACTGAATCTAATGTCCTGCTGGCACACCGCGTGTGGTCCATGGCTCATTGTTTAGCATAGTTGCACTGCAAAGAATTACTTAGGGCATGTACAATGGTGCTATCTTAGGAGTGCCACGTAGGATAAATGGTGAGGTGGAGGAGAGAGAACTCATAAGAAAAGGCTTGTCTTCTCTTATTTAAGATAAGACAAAAGATGATCTCTTAGCACAATTTGTCTCACCATATTTTAAGGAATAACTAGTTATTGAAGATAAGGCTAAGATATAACCCATTGTAGACATATTTTTTTGTCATCTCTAAATTACATGCAAGACTTAAGATAAGACTGTCCTATCAACCATTGTACATGCCCTTACTCTTTTGTAGCAAGAGGAATCAAGCCATTATTTGTTACCATACTTGAACGATTTTGCATAAGTTGTGCTTGATAACTTTCCATGTGAGACAGTATGTGCCTACTGTCAGCGCGAGAATACCGGGCATTATTACTCTATATATACTATGGAAGATGTCTATTACTATTAGCATCAGCACATGGCTGTCAATTCTTCCTTTTTATGGGACTTGCGCAATATGACCAATGCTTTCCTTGTGAGGCCGCAACCCGGGCCATATTCCCATCCATCCAAATCAAGGGTGACGATGCTCCCTTGCTTCCGTCCTCCACCTTGTAGACTTGCTCCGGTGGTGCAGGCGCTCGGGGAGTTGAGTAGGGTAGATAAAGGGCTGGGAATGGGGCGATGGGGACAAAGAGTTGGTGACAAGAAGGAGAGCAAACAGCAAAATGCATGCATTGGCATTGCAAGGTGGAGTGCGGCTCGGGGCATTGGTGATAAGTGGCAAATTAATCAGCGGTGGGGATCTAAATCCGTTGCTAATGGCACGCAAGGATCACTTACAGTGCACCACAGCTTTCACAACTTTCCCATTAATTAAATTATTATTTATGATTACCCCGGAGCCGGAGGTGGTGGGAGCCAGAGATCTCGGTGTACGGTTCAGGCGACGATCAGCAAGCAGCACGTCGTAGTACTAAGCTGTCGCCGTATCAGACTCGCTCGAAACCCATGACACGTCCATCAGATCAATGTCCCGGCCGGTAACTCCTGCCCCCACGTTGAAAGCTGAAGCTACTTTTCGCCATCTCGTATGGAGGCATGGATCGAATCTCCCGTCGATTTCTACCACGGCGGTGCGTGTACTTCCCCCCTCGTAAAAAGTTACAAAATCCAGCAGCGTGCGGGCGAGAGAGCAGAGCATCTGTACGCTGTGCGACTAGCGAGAACGACGCGCCCGCCCGTCCGTCCGTGCCTGCCAACTAACCGCTTTGGAGATTTCTCTCCTCTTCTCTTCTCCGGGTGGCTATTATTACGGGTCGGTTTAGTAGCACAGGGTGATTAACCCAACTAAAAACACCAGCAGTACCTATCCATCCATCTACTACTCATCCCCCAAAGTTATGCGGGTGCTGCTACTAACCACCACTACGATCTACTTCCTCCGTCCGGAAATACTTGTCATTGAAATGGATGTATTTAGATGTATTTTAGTTCTAGATACATTCATTTTCATCAATTTTGATGACAAGTATTTTCGGACGGAGGGAGTACTTGTACTAATATCATCCGGTCCGGCAGTATTGCCGCTCAAGCCAAGCTAGCGTTGCTGCTTTTGCTATACCTATCGACTATTCGTGTCGCGCTGCCACTGGTGCGTCATATACTTCCGTGGATGTGGCCGTGTATGGATAATGTTGTACTGGAGTATTCTGTTTGTAGTATATTGATTCGGCAGGCAATTTACAATATACTCCTTGGTATAGTACGAGTAGCGCTGGTGGTGCGTGCCACAAGTCAAGCAGGCGGCTCTGGCCTTGAATACAAGGCAGCTGGGCTAGGCGAGTGAGTGAGATGATACTCATCATAGTACTACTAGGCCAGCAGCGTGTTGTTTTCTCCCCTCGCTTCTGCTCGTACTCTAGTGGTGGCAACTGCTACTTTTTCCTGTCATTTTCCTGGCGTCCTTCTACTTCTCCGGATACCCATTACACGAGAATCGTCGTAATCTCGAGTGACGAGTGGGTCGTGGCAACCGCAGTGCTTTCTTTTTCTTCTTCTTTTCAAGTTGAAGTAGAAAGAAACATGTGCAAGTGGAAACAGCTAGCTACCCCAGGTAGCAGCATGCATGGCTAGATACGAATGGACAATGGAGTGGTGACTTCTGTTGAGATGGGCATCGCCTATGCTGCCGTGAAAAGCGACGTCATTCCAAGTTTAGGGCGTTGCAACTGTCAGAGGGACGCAAACGAATCGCCGAGAATTAAGCTAAAGCATCTCAAGGCCCCGTTGCTGAGCATCTGGTGCACTAGATCTAATGAGCTCACGGTTTCAGAGCATCTACAGCCGGGGGGCCTCAAGTACGCCTCAAACGAAAGACAGTTCCGAACTACTTAAACACCATTCTAAGACGTCCGGACTGTCCGGTGCTTCTCATATCCAGCTTAAATATGGGGTGATCTGGGCGCGTCCGGACGTGTCCGCCACATCAGCCCTGCCCACTCAGACCCTATATATCCCCTCTAATGAACCCTAGACTTCACTCCACTACATCCTCTTCGTCCTTCCCTCTTCCCAATCCGCCCTCTCCTCTTCCAAACCGATCCATGGTGGACGACCAGAGCGGCTCCAGCTCCAATGGTGGCGAGAGTGACGTCGATGCGGTCGCTCTCCGCATTGCTTTGCATCGCTCCCGTCTAGATCAGGGCCGCAACAGCGGAGGTAGTGATGAGGATATAGACCTAGGGTAGAGTCATAGGCCTGACCAACATACCCTACCCAAGGTCACTACCCTAGACGCAAAGAACTTCAAGAGACAACAGGGAGTACCCAACGAAGACGTCGAGTGCACTCCACTCGACGAATCATATCACTCGGGTATTCCTCCTTCCTGAAGATCACTCGACCATACAAGAAACCACTCGACCTATGAAGACCAGGAGTCGGACGGAACTGCAACGGTCAAACATTCACTCCGTAGTCTTCATGGGCATTAATGACACTTATGGCTGGCGTTATCAGTAACGTCCCTCCTTTATGTACATTGAACCCTCTATAACAGGGGATGGCTGGGGTCCTGGCGCACTTTATATAAGCCACCCCCTCCTCTGGCACAAGGGTTCGCACCCCCTGTAACACACACGCATATACTGAAATTCAGTCGACCGCCTCCGGGCACCGAGACGCAGGGCTTTTACCTCCTCCGAGAGGGGCCTGAACTCGTAAACACTTGCGTACAACCTCACCGTAGCTAGGACCTTGCCTCCTCCTACGTACCCCATACTCTTACTGTCAGTCTTAGTACCACGACAGTTGACGCCCACCGTGGGGCAAAGCGTCTTAGCGACTTCCGGCGAGGTTGCATTTTCTTCAGTCTTCATCAACATGGTTTTTGGCGGCAGTTTGATCATGGGCCACGAGTTCCGACTCGGGGCGCTCACTTTCATCGCCGACGATTCGGCCTGGCTCCAGGAGGCCCCCCTCGACGTCGAGGCGCTGCCGATCCGTGGTTCGTCGCACTTCCGCGGGAGTGCCCGTGGTGTCCTCCTCTGGCAGCCGTCGACTCCGTACCAGTCGACGCCCGTGTCGACCTCTCGCTCCGCTAGATGCCGCCGCAAGCGGTCGGGCCGTTCACGGCTCCAGCTGTGGGTGAAACACGTGGTGGCTCGGCAGGCGTTCACTCATCAGGTCATGGCGATCGAGCCCGACGTATATCACTGCGGTCCAGTTGACCCGTCGACTGACTTGGCAGACACACTTTCCGAGAGCGGAGTTGTGACCCCGCGGCAGAAGTCCTCATGGTCGACTCTCATCGCGGCCCGCCTGGTTTCCGCCGCAACGACGAGAACAGGGATGTAGACGGTACGTCGCTCGACCATGAGGAGTACCAGCCCCAACCTCTCAGTTCACAGCAGAGGGAAGAGCTGCGTCACCGCAACGAGGACGCTCTCCATACCCCCATCATAGGGGAAACCGCCGAGACTCGGGCTTTGGAGGACGTGCGCCTGGCCACGCTGGCCGAGCACACCCGTTTGGAGAATCTCCAACATTCTCTCGACGAGCGTGCCCGTTGATTGATCCCCGGATCGAGTCGACACACACGACAGCTGTTTCCACCAGAAACTGAGGTATTCCGCACACCGATTCAGAATCTCACGGAGTCCATTCAGCCATCTCGCTCGGAGGCTGGAAGAGGCCTGGAACAGATCAGAGCGCTGCTCCGAGCGGCAGGAGATCAGAACTCTGCAGTGTCCCAGTCGTGGAACAGGATTCACAGTCGATCGGTAAGGACAGAAACCGTTCAGTCGGCACACGGTCGTAGATCACCGTTGAGGCAAAGAGATCGTGAGCATCGTCAGGATCGACATTTGGGAAGAG